TTGTGGTTAACATATACACGACATTGTGATGGAGGCGGTCCCAAAAAATGCAAATGCCACAAGACGATGGACAAGCTCCACGCGTTTGTCAGAGTTTAAGGTGATGCCGGTCTTGTAGTACCCTGACTTCTCCAAGTATCCCCAAGATACCAGGCCATTTTTGGATTTGATCCTGCCAAGCGAACTTATCATCCGCCCAGGCACCTCCAGGCCTGACAAAGGTTCATACATTTGTTGCCAGTCCTCTCCCAACAGCGTTCCCGTCTCCCGATCGTCCGCAAGTTGAAACTCATAGCCTTTCGTGGCTTTGCCTTGACGGCAGCCATTCGCAACTGAATACCGGCTAATGCCAAGCTCTACGGCTGCCTGCGTCATTGAGGGGGAGATGTTCCAGCTTTGGGACTCAACAGCTCTCCACATCACAGGTAAGGAGCGCCGAGCTCCGCCGCAGCGCCTAGTTTGGCTGGCATAAGAGGCAATCATGTTCTGGCTGGGCGTTACGTACTCCAAGTTGTCCAAAGAATTGTTGGCCTTGTCGCCATCAAGGTGATGCACCTGCCATGTCGAGTCGTCAGGTGGAGGACCGAGAAAAGCCAAGGCCACCAAGCGATGGACCAAAAAAATATTGCCCGACATCTCGACTTTGCGGTAGCCTGTTGGCTGTAAGCTTCCATATGATATTACTCCTCTGGTGTCGCACACCCGGCCATAGGAACTCACCTGCCACCTTGCTGCAGCTCCACTGGCTCGCAGGGGCCCACTGGAAATGCTTCTCCAAGCACAAGCAACGGCAAGACTTCTGGCGCCAAACAACTCTTGCCAAGTCTGGCTGGAAGCTGATCGAGCAACAATAAGCGCCATAGCCCGACTTCAAGATTCCAAACTATAAACTTTCTGGGAACACTATCTATAGCCTTAAATGGGCAAAGCAACATGCACACTCAACAATTACCTCTCCTTTGAGATAATCAGGGATATGTTCCGAGTACGCTCAAACCGCCGCCAAAAAACTCTACCAATAGTGCTGGAAAAGGGTTGCCTCAAACCATACCTTTGTGATCATACCGGACGCGTTTGGATTCCTACAGCTTATATACTTGAACAAGTCGTTGCAGGGCTTCTTGGATGGGGCCCTGGAGCCCTTGGACGATCCCCGGTTGGCTTGTTACGATGGAACACCTGACTATCAATTGGGGTCGTCAGTCTCAAAACAAGAAGGATGACTCCGAATCGTTTTCGCTCTACTCTCCTTCTTCCATTAGTTCAAACTGGTTGATTTGAAGAAAGTTGAAGGTCTACCATCTGGACTGTCGAATTCATGGGCGTTACTCGAACTGCTTGTCACAAGGCAAACACGGATTCTGGGGCCTCTGGTTTCCAAATTGCAGCCAATTGGCAAAGCCTTACGACACCATTTTGCACAGCCAGCCATCTCCTATCTCGGATTCGAATTGATGCAAAGAACGAACCATTTTAATGCAATTGCTGTAAATGACCCTTTCCTTCAATGGCTGAACTCCTCTGACAGGTTCCACCCCGATTGATCTTTGCAGCAGCAGTTTGTTCAATCAAGGCTCTAGCTGGGAAGTGGTCACCGCCCTTTTCGTGTGGCTTTTTTCTTGCAGCAAAGCTGGGAGATCAATGCAACGCCACTCTTCGCCTGAAAGGATGTCTGGGGTGGCCAACCTGAACTCGTAGCCACAAGCACTTGCCTGGTGTCGGTTGAGACATCTGGAAATGCTCTTGGTGGAAATGCCAAATGCAGCGGCAACGCCGCGGATAGATGAATGTTTTGTCCATTCTTTGCTGTTCTTTAGCCTGCTCTCGACTGGTCTGCCCCTGATGCGGTTTCTGATGCCTGTGTTCAAGTAAAAGTGTGCCATGTTTTCAGATTGTGTCACGTACTCCAGGTTTTCAGCTGAATTATTTCCTTTGTCCAGGTCCTTGTGGTTAACATATACACGACATTGTGATGGAGGCGGTCCCAAAAAATGCAAATGCCACAAGACGATGGACAAGCTCCACGCGTTTGTCAGAGTTTAAGGTGATGCAGGTCCTGTAGTACCCTGACTTCTCCAAACATCCCCAAGATATCAGCCCATTTTTGGATTTGATCCTGCCAAGCGAACTTACCATCCGTCCACGCACCTTCAGGCCTGACATAGGATCATACATTTGTTGCCAATCCTCTCCCTCAAGTGCTCCTCTCTCACTGTTGACCGCAAGTTGAAACTCATTGCCTTTCACGGCTTTGCCTTGACGGCAGCCATTCGCAACTGAATGCCGGCTAATGCCAAGCTCTACGGCTGCCTGCGTCATTGAGGGGGAGATGTTCCAGCTTTGGGACTCAACAGCTCTCCACATCACAGGTAAGGATTGCCGAGCGCCGCCACAACGTCTAGTTTGGCTGGCATAAGAGGCAGCGATGTTTTGGCTAGGCGTCACATACTCCAAGTTGTCCAAGTGATTGTTGGCCTTGTCGCCATCACGGTGATGCACCTGCCATGTCAAGTCATCAGGGGGAGGACCGAGAAAAGCAAAGGCAACCAAGCGATGGACACAAAAATAATTGCCTGACATCTTGACGGTGCAGTAGCCTGTTGACCTTAAGTATCCATATGATATTGCTCCTCTGGTGTTGCACACCCGGCCATGGGAACTGACCTGCCAGCAGTCTTCGACTGCACATTGTTGGATGGGTCCACTGGATGTGCATCTCCAACTATAAAAAATAGCAAAGTTTCTGGAACCAAGCAACTCTTGCCATGTCCGTCTGGAAATGGCCCGACTAGCAAACGTCATAGTGCGACTTCAGATTCAAACGCTAAATTACTTAGTATACATTATTTTATAGAAATCAACTCCTAAGAGCACACTTGTGCTTTTTCACAATCTCCTTCATGTGCTGACTGTTCTAAACACCAATGATCTAAATGCTGCCTTGTTGAATCCCTTCCAATCTCTCACCATAACTACCAACACAAGAGCTGCCCAGCTCCTTGATTTCAACAGCTTTGTAAGGGAAGTGTTGCAAAAGAGTTCAGACTTGAGAGTGGGCGACATGAAGCCGCCTGGAGCTATAGCTGCCCTGGGTGGGGAATGCATTGAACACAGCGGTGGACGCTTCAAAGGGTATGAGATAGAACCTATCCAGAACATGCGGAGTTCAAACTCCCTCCAACGTTCGGGCGCATGGAACTATTTGGTATTGATTCAATTCTTAGGGCATGCATTTCAAGATTGCTAGTCTAGCAAAATGCAAAAACCACCGACCGGATCCGCTACGCTACACTACATTGCTACATGTTGCATGGAGAGGTCCTATTCTTGACTGAGCAAAGTCAAGCGGGCACGCGATGTTGACAATGTTGGCGTACACTGGGTGCTTGACGAGCAGTTAATATATTGCTTTCTTGCACTCAACATGTCTGCGATTGGGAATGGAAGCTGGTCACAAAGCCATAAATTACACATGATAATGGCATCATCCGTCCTACAAGTATCTCATTCATCAGCACTGGTCTTCAGCACGGCCACAAGCAAATGGAGAAATCAAGAAGAGTTCATCCCAGGACCCTTTGCATGATGAGATTGCCACAAATTGACAAGGGGCGCTTCTGCTGACTTCTCACCCTGGTCCCACTCAATCCGCTTCCTTCATCCTAGCGGCTCGCGGCAAACACTTCAGAAGCGGCACCTGTAGCCGGGACTGGGAGCAGCACCAAGGGCTCGCAAGGGTGCTCCAAAAACACATGTCCCTAGTGTGTCGCAAAATGCAGCGATTGAATGAACATTCTTGGCTGCACATATCCATATCTAGCCTCAACTGCAAGATTTCGACCATATTTGACCTCGACTTCAACGGCCCAGTACTGGGCCGAACCCTCATCGACCCACCACTTCTCCACCCCTATCGATCCAACTCCCCAAGCACCAAAGCCACCACCATCCGCCGGTCTCAAAAACTCGGTGAGTTCTTGTGGCTCATCCTTCTTCCCACCCAAGCTCAAGGCCGACCAGCTCCTGCTGTCATCCGCCGCATTCGAGGCATCGCGAGAGGCACTTGGGCAATGATGAGGGAATTTGGAGAACGCTGAAGACTCAGGAAACCTGAAAGCCAAATATGAATGTGAATGTCGGAACCCAGGGACACCCAAATGTGCTTCTGCCTGTTCGAACTTCCTTCCTGTCTGCCAAGAAGAGGAAAAACAGAAGCAATGACAACAACAAGAACAACAAACCAACCGTCTGCCATGAATCAACCCTCCTGGACTTCGATTTGCCGTTTCCATGGTTTTCCATCCCCTTGCCCCCTTCGGCCTGGCCAGAAAGGGTCGACTGGACTTGGAGCTTTGGCTCTTGGGACTCAACGGGCTGGGCTCCGGCGAGGAGGGTCCCGAGGACCTGCCGCGGAGCGGAAACTCGGAAGACGCCCGAGTATCACCGAGTCCATCCGAGCCGCGTTACAAAAAGGAACGGGGGAGAAGTGTCTATATAGAGTCTAGATAAGTCTAGATGCATGGCTGGAGATTGCTGGAGCTGAGAAGTGTGCTTATTTGGTTGAAATTGTGGGTGTTCAGGAAGAGCTGGAGTTTCTTTTGGGGGGGCCAATTCCAAGTTGCTGTACCCAAAAGGTGGGGATTGAGTTTCCAGCAGTTTTGAAGGATTTATGATTATTTAAGAACCTTCTAAGTTCGAGGGGGTTGCAAAAGCTGGGCCATCATGATCGATCTCAAATGGTCTTGTTCGCGAAAAAGGCTGGGCCTACATATCATGATCGGTCTCAAACGGTTTTGTCAGTAATACGGCTCATCAAATTATTGGCTTATGTTGAAACGAACAGCTCCAACTGCCCAGCCGATGATGTTTAATCTTCTTTTTCCGGGTGGTTTCTTTCTCCGTGCTGCCACACTCACCAAGTCATGCCGGTGTCTTTCTTGCATTGAAGAGAGTTGGCTGAAATCCGCCCAAACCGAGCCAAAGCGATAAACATTCCACGCACCGCTGCGCTCTTGAGAGCTCCCCCCCGTCCTGCCGAAGAACTGCCGCCCACCCAAGCTCAGGCTTCCGGTGCCAGGACTCACCTGAGGGTCGAGGCATTTGCCCAGGACATCATCTGACTGTAGAGACTGATGTAGATGACTTCCTCCATAGTCAAAGGTGTACTGTAGGATATTTACTATAGTAGGGGTAGGAGAAGTTCAACTGTTGACTGTTGCTTAGTGCAGGGTCTTCAAAGGCGTAATTGTACAAAAATTGAAAGGACTCAAACAGCTGGATCAAAGGAATTTCCAACAATCAATACACTCAAATAGCTTTGGGTCCAACATAGTGTGATAGAATCTACAAGTCTTGTTCGGTTGGATAGTGCGCTCACAGATGTCTTATCACCACCGGTTGTGATACATGTACCAGCCAACCAGCCACCTTGCAGTCAAACCAGTGAATATCGCACCGCCAAATTGGATCCACTCCTCACGCACCAAAGGGTGGGGCGATTTTTCTGGAAGCTGAAACATGCCGGCGGAGTCCAAGCGAACGACCGTCTGGTCCTATGCCGCGCAAACCGTGTGATCATATATGACCTTATATCCTCTCGAATTCTCTACGTGTGACAGGCCTGCTCTGGAATGAAGCAACCAACTGGTCTCTCTGAGATTCGTTAAGCAATTGTTAAACGCCACCTGTGAACCCGAGGAGGAAGGTCGGCTCCCAAAACGGAGGAAAACCCACCTCCAAACAACCCACCTCAAGAATCAGTCAAGGAGACGTCGAACTAACACCTTCTGGGTTTATCCGGGTTCTTTTGCAGAGTGGAGACATGTGGAAACCAAGCAATCCACAGTTGCATCTTGAAGAGCCAACCACCCATGGAGCTAATTGAGCGAAACTCATTCAAGTTGTTTACTGTTGACTTTCTAAGCTACTTCAGCATACGGATCTCCAACTCATCATCTCTCCACCCAAGTCACAGGCCCCAAAGGCGTCCAGGGCGGGGACGAGGGCGACGCCGGCTCCTCGTCGTTGAACGGCACCTGGGAAGGGCAGGTCCCAAAAATCGGAACCCTGGAACAAATTCCTTCCAAGAAACTAACCCTTTGATGCCTGACCTATATACCACCCGACCTCATTCTATATAATAGAGTCATAAGTCATAAAATAAATCATGTTCAAAGATCCTATGTTCAAAAATGTTCAATCAATTTCAAGGGTTATCATCTAAAAACACCATTTGAATTGGATCCCATTGGCTGTTTGCAGTCACCGGAGCTCTTGTTTTGGAAGCCTCACCTGCCGCGTGAAGGATCTCGAGGTCGGCGACTCCTCCAGCTCCACCGGGCGACTCGGTCGACTGCGGCTGCCACCCATGGCGCCGAAGCAGCATGCGCTTTCGGCCGGGTGCGCGTGTGGTGTGGTGCTGCGCAGTGCTGCGCGGAGAGGAGTGGAGTGATCAGGTCTGAGGCCTGAGTGGGTGGGTGAGTGAGTGTGATTGGGGCTCTGAGTTTGACAGGGTGGGGGGGGGTGGGGGGGGGGGGGGTGGAGGAAAGTTTGGGCTGTTGATGGTGGACTTGGAAAAAACATGTGGCTCTTGGGTGGCGTGAAAAAAAAAGAACTGGCTGGGGGAGTCGTGTTTACAGTGCCCTGTGTAGAACTCTCAATGCACCGCAAACATACATGTATAATCAGTGTGGTTTCCCTGGTCTCGCATACTATCGTGGCTTTATCTCCTCATCAGCTTGTCCGCGGTGTGGGAGTATCATATGCTGTTGCCAATGCATGTCTGGCTGTCCCATCCTTTGCGGCTTGAGCTGTCCAGAATTAGGCCGCGGGATGCGATCATCAGTCATGCATAAACAGAATCTGTCGTGACAGCCTCTGCATGCCTCTGCCATAAGCACATGAGATGTGGCAGCTACACCTCATGGGTGAACGGATCCTCAATTGAGTGCGAAGGGCTTCTGTAGACTGTTGACTGTGGGGGGGTGTTTGCATGCCAACAGGCCAGTAACCGGTAACCTTCAAAATGGATGTTTCGTCGACTTGTCTGAAGTCAGTAGGACTATTTGGGATGTTCCCTGCTGGACGCTCCAATCCAGTGGCAATGGACAAGCTACACAACAGTGACAGTGTCGCACAAACAGCCAACCCAAACCCAGCAAACTTGGACCCCACACTTGCCTCTATGACTGATGATTTTGATAAACAATCTCCTGCGACCTCTGCCTTTACTCAAATAAACAGCAGCAATGATCAATCTCTTCCGTCCTTCCTTTTGTTGCCCTCCCTTCATCTCCTTTCTCCACTCTCAGAGTCGACGGCACCAACCTCGGTTCGCGCGAGCCGTCGGAGCCGTAGCCGTCGCAAACGGAGGGGTCTACTTGGATGACTCCTATAGGGAACCGTACTCCGCAGCCAGAACCGAAGACTTCTCCTGACATCACCCACCTCCTGACAGTTTGATTCTGCTCGTCTTGTGAGGAAACCCCCCACCGGAACAGAATCAAGAAGAGATTGCTAGCACGATTGCCTGTGAAGATTCCACTGGAACACAAAAGAACAACACAGCGCATGCCTGATCAATTGTATACTTCCCAAAGTAGCATTTCAGTTGGAAACCGAAGCATGTCATCCACCCCATGTCAAACCCGGTGTCCATCCGCCCAATTTTCGCCCAAGCATCTCTCTGGAAGGCCTTCAGCAAGCGACGCAGCTCAGGTGACTTTGCCAGCTGCTCTGCTAGCTGCGGTTCTACTGTCAGCCGCTGGTGGAACATCAGCTCTAACACCGAGCGCGCCTCGTGTGCGCGTCCAGCGAAGGGCGTGTGACGAGGTACATGGTGTGTATGAAGTATAGTTGAGGTATGTTGAGGTGTGGTTGATGAACCAAAGTGATCATGCTCGACACACTCTACAAATCCACAAAAATGGTGCTCCCGATGGACAAAACTCCGAACTCAAATCCTAAATGGTCATGACCAGAGTCAAGTGCCTCGGTCTTTCTTTGGCAATCATAGAAGCTTTGAGAATGATGAAGATGAAGGGATGTCTTCGTGTCATCTCGCAGCCTTGCACATCCCTTCATACAGCAACTTGGCCGCCCCCATCGACGTGCCAACATCTCGTGCCTCAAACATCCCCCCCGAAGCCCGGACCCAGTGCATCTGGGGCGCCAGGGTCATATCCTGACCGGACCGTTTAATGACGGGAGGACGACTGGGGTCGGCATGCGATGTGGAACAAAAAGCTAGCGGTCATTGGGGGCTCCACCCTCCAGAGCGAGGTATAGATAGATCTCTGATGGTTAGTGTATATACCAACATTTACAGGTAATAGGACACCCCCAAGGAATGTCAGTTCTGCGCCGAAGGACTCGGATAATAACCGGGACTCAATCTGAAGACCAAACAGGTGGTGAACTCCACTTCCATGATGGTTTCAGGGAGTGTAAATACTCCTGACTAGGAGCACTAGAACTTTTCATATTACTGCAGGGGATAGAACTTGCAAAGAAGTATATATAGATTGGCAGTTGTTACCACATCAAAATCAAGAAAAACACAAATTGAGTTATATTAGGATCCACACCAAAATCTCTCAACAACTACCCCACCTCGGCTAAGACTGGAAGCGCGATCACGGCCTTTATATCTGAGATTGCCGCCCAACATAGTGCCGTTATGGTTGGGGTAATCTTCTGGTTTCACATTGCTCTCCAAGGACTGGCTCATCGCTTTCGATTTGTGAAGGTATGGCATAGGGGCCAAGTCGAAGGAAAGAAGTCCAAGCTTTTCGACTCTCATCCACCTCCCCTGCGGGGCTCCTGCAGCACCAGCGCCACCTTCAACGCCACCGGCAGCATCTTCGCCGTGGGCCGCAAAGGCGTCTGCCGCTGCAGGCGCCGCCACAACTCCCGGAAGCGTCCCGCGTGGGACGTGGCCAGTGCCGACAGCACCAGGTGGTAGGCGGTCCTGGGGAGGAGGCACCACGATGATCGCAAAAGGGAGTGTATAGGCAATTTTAAAAACCAAGGAGCGAGACTTTGCAGGGGGTTCTTTGTCTTTTTTTGTTGGGCTTCAGTGTGGCAAGGGGCGGAAAATAGGTGCAGAAAGGTAGGGTGAAGGAAAATCAGAAACTCATGTGCCAGGACACTCCAAGATCGGCTGATTTCGGCTCCTAGCAACGTGGTTTTCAGGGCACCCTCTGACTCTTGTCACCAGGAAACACCAGTAGGAAGATATGGATGGGTGATGGGTGTGGACAAACTCTTGCAACTTTTGTTGGGCAGTGGCAAGTGGGTGGTTGCGAAGAAGCGAAGGGAGCCACTGGAACAATTGTGTATTGCAAACATTGCCATTGAATTCAAATTCTGAACGAGCAATCTGAAAATTTGTAGGGGGACCACTGCACCATATCCATCGATGATACATGTTAAACCAAAAAAGAGCATCAAGTTCCAAACCCAATGGTGATGTCAAGTATTTTGCACATCTCCAGTCATCTTCCAGACCTCCAGTCATCTGCCTCTACTGATCAAAACCGTCTCTGAGCCTGCCCTTGATTATTGAGTCCAGGCACTCATCCGGCTCAACGCCCAGCTCTTCTCGACTCATCAGCAGGATCTCCTCCGCCTGTGTGGGAGCACCACAAGAGCAATAAGCCGCCAGCATGGCGTGAAGCAACTCCTCAGCTCTCTAAACAGGGCGGTTGGGTCACCTGGATTGAAAAACACCTACTCCCCTGCCAAGCGATCACATGGACACCCAAAACCACTGGGTTGTAGAGGAAAGTGGTCTTCCACCGGTCAATTCTCAGGTTCCATGTTTGCGGGAGGGTACCATCGTGGATAAGGCCGTTCTGATGACCATGAAATCCAAATACCAAGCAGGTCCGGTGGTGAACTCCACTATCCACTATGATTCCAGGTGTGATGCCCGGCATTGGGCAGCAAAGTCACGAGTATAACATGCTAGCTGCTGTCGGAACTAGAAGTGGAACAATCCCTAAGCAGTTTTCCGGGCGGGTTCTGTCCCACTTCTATGTTATATAAGTTTGGAGCGGGGGCAAACATTCATTGACAACTGATCTTCAAGCTCCTCAAGCTTCTTCTACTGTGCACTGAAACCTGAGAGCACCCCCATCGCAACGACCACTCCTTGCGAGAGCCTTACATTTACCCACCGCCATCTGCGCCCATCCAACAACCAACACCACAAAAGCAAGACACATTATCGCATCTTCTGAACCAACTTGATCTCCAATATTGAACCTCTTGTTTGACCCAATGACTGCCACCTGCGCTGCTCCTCCGATCCACTGCTCCATCTCCGGATCCCCAAGGCGAGGTTCCAAAGGGATGGGCCCCTGCTGTCGCGACTCCTGCAGCTCGCGCCAGGCGTTCGCCAGCAAACGTCCCCTCAAGCCCGGCTCCTGCGGAGCATTACTGGGAAGTCGATGCTTCGATAACGACGTCATGTGTGACATGAATGTAGAACTATAGTGAGCATGGGGTCATTCAAGCATTAACCACGGACTTGATATAGACCATGATGGAGTTGTAGCACAAGCTCTATAGTGTTTGTCCGCTTTCTGAATGAAACCCACATCCTCCAACCAAACTCATCACGGATCCAAGGGCGGGCTTCCCCCGGATCGGTCCATGCCCACCTGCACGAGTGCGGCCGCCTGCCCAAAGGCTCGCACCAAATCCTCAGTGCAGCACCAGGTTCAGGCAGCTCGCTGGGGAGAACTGGAATATATTGGTAGAAGTTAAGGCTCACCTGGAGCCAAATCTTGTAGTCAGTCTGACCTTCTTCTCCTTCCTATTTGAACAGTTCCAAAACGTCAGTCCTTTTTTGGGGGGATCTCTCTTTACCAACTTCCTCTTCTCTAGTTACCTCCACCTCCTCCTTCTCACATCTTCCCACCAAGCCGCTGCCCTCAGCCCCACGTCCGGCTCCACCTGCGCCGCCCGCATCCGCCGCCGCAGCTGCTTGGCCTCCTCGGCGTTGGAGGTCTCGGCGCAGGCGCGCGCCAGGGCGACGCAGAGCCGCGCGGAGGGCGCGAGGCCACGACCTGGAGGGAAGGCTACACCCGGTGGATGGTGGTGTTGCTGGGGGTATACAGTTGGGGCGTCTTCAGAAACTGAGTGTTGCTTGGAAAACATAATGTAATATAATTCACGGTTCCATCCACACTTCCATGGGCTGGTAGATTCTGGTAGATCATATCTCACTGCCAGTCACATTCAATGACCTCCAGGCAAAGTGCCCTTTGGAGCGCCACAGTCCAGGATGCATTGCCTCACTCTACCTCACTCTCCATGAATATTATGAATTCATTAAGATCTTGTGAGTTGTATCAGAAGGACCAAGCTAGCCGCCCTACGGCCACATGTGCCCATGGGCCCAATCAGCATCCCACCAGCGCTCCCAGCCCTTCGTCGTCGTGCCACGGGAGCTTTCGCTCGCCAGCTGAAAGGCGCGCGAGGCCGTGCGGCGCCGGGAGGCCAAGGCGATGATGAACTCGGAGTGCGCCTCCTCTGCCAAAAGGGACGCCATCAAATGTCTGGCGGGGAGAGTAGCCCCATGGGCTTCAATGGTGAAACAAACTAAATGCAGAACAGGCAGTTGCTGGCAAGTGCTTGGGGAACTGTAGCTCCTTGGCTCCCTGTTTAAGCAGTTTAAAGGGGAATATGGATACCACCGGCTCCTGAGCTGTAGGTTGACACTACCGAAGTGACTTTGCCTTACAACACCTGGCAAACCGTTGTCACCGACTGAGATAGCAAATGGGAAAGAGTTTTGAGGGTCTGGACCCCTGCCATGGTGGGACAGTCCCAGAAACACGTGTGAACAGTCCATCACAAGCGCGTTCATAAAGCACAGAAGCTTGACCCATACTCCTCGTTCGCTGGACCATACTTGTTCTTCATTTCCTCAATCAGTGCTTCGGCACGGTCCTCAGTGGTTGGAAAAACATCCACTCGCCAGAAGAACTTCCAAAGCACAGGACAAATGGGGTCGAGACTCCTGTGGTTGCTGAAATGGAGGCCTCGCCGGTGATGGTTCCCGCCAGTGCCCAAAAGCTAGGAGCTGCAAAGGAGAACTAACGAAGCAAGGAGTATATAACTAGGATGAGAACTTCGATCAACCTCACCCTTCTTCACATGTTCATGTATGATGAAAAGCTCCTCATGACATACTTGTGACCGTCACTGTAGTCTGTAGAACCATTGCTTCCACATTGCACACTCAATCAAACCAAACAAAACATAACAAAACAACATCCATCAACAGTTTGCCCTCAATCCAACCAGCATAGCTGCGTCAATGGCATATCCCTTGTAGGAGGAATACGAGCCTCTATACAAACCACAAAGGTTTTCGCATTGGCCAAGCTGCTGGATCTCTCACCAAGCTACACGCCTTGATCATCTGTACCTCTGCGACTTGGACTTCAAACCGAAGAGATCCCCGCCCGGGCTCGCTCCATCTTCGCGTTTCAGGCATCTCCGGCGTTGCAGAAAGGGCACGCAAAACGGTGGGTGGATGAAGAAATTCAGCAGGGTTCACCACCAAAGAGCTTGGCTTGGATAAAACTCGTAACTCGCTATACTTACTCATGATTAAATTACCTTCACACTGCATAGTATTTCTATACCCAATCAGCATTTTCAGAGCATTCTCAGCTGTGGAAAACAATAAGCACACACTTGGATCAACCGCGTCGGCACCTTGATCAGTTCACAACAACCACCACTTTTCAAACAAGTCTGAGAATTCTGGGCATTGAAGGCAGGTGTTCCATGAAAATCTAGATATATAAATTTTGGCAAAGGGAAACCAGGTTGATGATTTGGAAAGCCCCAAATTCTGGTGGTTTGACATTCAGAATTGCATGTTCCCCTGATCCAGGAGGCTCCGGACGGATTGCCACACAATTGGCTCCTTTTCCATCTTCCTTTGAACCAACTGGTGCTGGAGACACTCACCATCCCTACCACCAACACCAGCCCCCAAGAGTGAACGACTCTTGCTGGCGCACATAGAGCTTCACCGTCGGCTCCAGCAACGCCCAGCTCCGCATGCGCTCGAAGGCACCGAAGGCGCTTCTGGCGCGGCCGCGGGAGACGAGGCCTTCAATGAGGGATTCGAAAATCTCCACCTCAGCGGCGAAAGGGGCTGAGAAACAAGTTTATTACTAACATTTACCAACTATAGTTTGGACCAATCTTTTACCAAAAATACACACATATTTCACGATACCTACGGTCTTGACCAAGTCCCACTTGGCAAAAGGAACATCTTGAGACGTCAAGCCAAGACTGCGATGTGTTACAAGGTGCACGCCCCAATGGATGCATGCACTTAACCAATCCCGTTGTTTGGTATGCTTCCATCCTGCCATCTCCTATATAATATACACTTCACTAACCACTTCATTTCTCACTGCTAGTGTTTTTGGTGCTTTCCCCACCCACACCATCCCACACCCCACCCGTCACGCCGGGCCGCCGGGATGGGTGCCCCTGGTGTCTCCAGGGACCCCAAGAAGGCGAAGGCGGCGTCCGCGTCGCCCAGGCGCGCGTGGGCGCAGATCAAGGCCTGGGCGTTGGGGGGACGAAGAGCGACCTGAGAGGCTGTGCCTGTGGAAACGATCTGAGGAACCACCTGAGTGTGGAACGACGTGTGGAAACGATCCGAGTGTGGGATGATGTGTTCAAAAATGGGGCAGTCCATTTTCTGGGGGCATGTCAGTGTAAAGTGGCTCAAAGTTTGCCACTGCTCGGCAAATGAACTGGAGTTTAAACAAATCTTGATGACGTTGATGGACCAAGCGGGCTCAGCCTGCTCCCTCAAATTAAGGTCCCAACGTCAGCTGAACCGGAACAAATCCGCAAAACCTGAACCGAGGTTAAAGGCTTTAGGACCTCTTCGTTGTGTTTAAACTGCTTAGTCAAGGCTTTGGTACCATGTTACAGCTGTTTACTACAGATCCGGGTCTAGCCTAAATCACCCTTTACGTGTTGACAATGCCTTTGAATGAACTAAGTTGCTCAGTAACGGACAACCACCAGGGTTTTTTCGCCAGTGGCTTTGGACGGTGCTCACCTGCATACGGTATCTTGGAAACATGCAGAATCAGGTCCAACCAACCTGCTGTTTCAGAAATACACTCCTTCGCCCTCCATTTCCAGTTCTGCAGCTCAGTGGCATGAAGCACAGAGGCAGGCAACAAATCCTGGGCAGCGTTCATCTCCGGTGGCTTGCACAATGGCAGGGTCGTTAGGGCAATCAACGAACAAGAACCTTAGAATCCTTAGAGCATGGGACATGACCCTATAAAAACGGGTTCATGTATATAACATATATATATATATACATACAGTATGTACAACTTTTCTGAGGTGAGGTACTTTGAGACTCCAGGTGTAGATGCATTTACCGTTCCTCATCAGATCTTTGCTTCCAGGTTCCGACGTCGGACGTTGTGGCACCCCGTGGTGTCTGCCCCGGTGCAGCATAAACATGAACAAGTAAAAACCTATGATGGAATAACCCCGAAACAGGAAAACATGGAAACAGAGTAAGATGTAATTACTGACAATTTTTTGACGATTGAGTTAGTATTTGAGGATGTACTTGTCTTCATAGCTTTACTATGCTTGACCTATACCTACTATGGTTTGGATATCACCCACAGCGTTAATTCATCCTCCCCGTTCCAAGTCACCACCGTCTTCTTCGAGGGCCCCAGCTCAGCTTCTTGGAGCGCCAGCAGTCCTTGTTCGGGAAACGACCCGTGGGGAAACGCCGCTGGTGCTGCATGCTGCAACTGTCTTGGTCTTAGCTCTTCTGAGTATGCTCATCAAACTATTCACTGCAGGGTGATCCTTACTAATTAGGGTTGCTAGATATCACCCTGCGAAGGGGTATATTTTCCATCCCTTACAATATGTGTCCTGCTCGATGGCAGAAATTGCAATGTCTTCATTCCGAAGGAAGGCACTTGGTGGGTGTCTAGCCAGGGCAGCCCAGAACAGCGACGTCACAACATTACTCGAGCTTCCTGCAATGTGCTCCCAATCCCAACATGGATTAGACAGGTGCAAATGTTCTATTAGGTAAATCTCAATCCTCTCAATTTCACCCTGTGACCACCGACCTGTTTGTCCAAGCATCGCAAACAAATACGCCGTGCACGCGGCAGGTCGTCAGAGGCCAAGGCTGCCGCCACCAGCAGGGAGAGACCGTCCACTAAGGATGAGGTGTCCCTGGGAGAAATGGCAAGCCAAATGATGTGAAAAACATGCTGAACAACCCATCAGGTCGACCTGGGGGAAGCAAGGTTTTTCACATCTTTAAGGAATAATATTTACCATGTACAACTTGTTGGACAAAGAAACATCGCTTTGGTGATGCTCGGTGAGTGGTTCAATCCATTCCCTGTTTCTCATTCGTTTGATCCAAGAGACTTGGAGCTCAGCAAGGGTTGGACCTGCTGCCAGGCATTCTCCATTGCAGGGCTCTGACATATGTTGGGAAGGCCCGCCAGCACTTGGAACCGGCTGCGATGCTGTGTTGGTTCTTCTTCCCTTGTTCGCGAACAAGGAGGAACTAGACTAATTGCCACGAAGGCAAGGATTGCATTCAGCGCCACCTCAAATAAAGAATTTCCGCATCTTTCGGAGCTGTCCACTGTTCAATCTCCACCTTATGATGGATCCGAGGATGTCTTCCGATGACTCCCACAAGTAGTCATTGTACTCATGTTCTCACTTTTCCGCACACACCCGTGAGGCCCGCGCACCGCCTGCTGCTCCAGCGGTGAATGCTGCGTCGCCGCGCTTCGCCGGAAGAGTCGCTGCACGGCCGCGGCGCGCGCCCAGCAGGTCCGCGCCATGAGGCGCTCATGGGTTTGGCATGGCGATGGCGCCAGGTGAAGTTCAGTTGATGGCGCCCAACGGGCCCCGAGCTTCTTCTGATCTTTTTTGTTGGTTGACTTGGGTCAGAGCTTAGGTACAGTAGAAGTAGTTATCCCAAAAGTCGAAGGTATACGACTCGAATGATCCAAAACCATTGTGGGGCTGATTCGCAGTGCAAAGCCGGGAAGAAGCTATTTCTACTGTCTGTGCAGTTGATTTTTGTAACACTGCATCCACAGTGTGGCACATCAGAAGCAACCCAGCTTGCTTTACTCATTGTCCATGCTTGACTCATCCTTGATTCCTTGATACCTCTGAAACACTGAGCTGCAATGGACTGAACATAAAATGTGACATGCTTGGAGCAAAGGTCAAGAGTTAACCACAACTTTGGTTTCAATCAGTTTCGAATAATTACGGGTTGGACTAATGGGAGATCTCACTGTGGGAAGTGCAGCATGGCCACATGAAGGGCACTTGCTTTACAAGTTGACACTGGATCTGATCCACTAAGGTTGGGCATGACCTCCCTATGGTCAGGTTTTCACCAACTATTGCAAGGTGTTCTAGCATGTACATCACCAGTTCATCATTGCACCAACAAGTGTGATAGACCTCACAAATGGCCAGTGAGCAATGGAGATACATATTGCATATGCACCCTTGGCTACCCTAAACCTTCCAAATCCTCACCAGAGTCCCCTTCAGGTGTCCACAGTCGACCACTCTGGTGCCATCAGAAGCATGCCCACAAGATTGAATCCAGCCCTTGAATCAACGTGCCCAAAACGAAGGTCAGGCAGGTGGCTTATTTATATTTAGTTTAGTTTTAAACCTATAGTCGTTTGCATGTTGCTCTGAAGAACCTGACCCAAACTCTTGATTTCGTCACAACACGTGCTTTGATTGATTCATGTGTGACTTTCCTCATGCATGTCTTGTTTTCACGACTCGCGGAAAGCACTTTTTGAGACTCCAGGTGCTTCTTGACGCTCTTCACGCTCACTGCCGAACCCACTTGAAGAGGTGCAAATCTCGTCTGCCGGTGCCTGGCAATTGAGGGATTCGTTGTCATTTTGCCCGGATTTTTCCTTTGCACAGGGGGGGGGGGCTGGATGGAATCCGATGTTGTAAGCCGTAGCCAAATCAATCCACATTGACATCAATTGGTGTCTACCAGGACCTTCAAAGTGACCTTCTGAGATCCCAGAATGAGGTCACTTAGTCCACTTTGTAGAGAGTGAGGTCACTTGGAGACTCCAAAGGGGTCATTCTGAAGGTCCTGGTGTTTCATTCCACTTCCAGTAAGCCTAAGATCCTTTGTTTCTGGTGGCTTTGCGCAAGCGAACTCATGCTCTTCAAGGAGTGTTGTAAGTGAAGTATCGGCAACATGAACACCGCCCACTCATTGGATAGAATAGAAAGGTAGCTCTGCACCCTAGATCCACCATCCCACTCCATTTTCTTTCATTTCTCCACGGCAGCTCCGCTTGGCATTTGCCAGGTGGAGGCGGCCGTGTCGACGTGCCGCTCGGCAGCTGCTCGGGCAAAGGACCTGGTGCAGGTCACCACACCCCAGGGACTCCGACCATGGACATGGCTCGCGAGCCAGGGGAATCTTAGATGTTGTTACTGTTGTGGTCGGGGTGACTTCAACAAATAGGGTGTGGACTAGACTAAGCCCATTCACTGGGGCCGGTTGAGTGGATTAACTATGAATTCACTAGCTGGAAGCTTTTTCGCCAAGCATGTGCAACACATGTGCGTGCTCAACTCCTAAACCAAACAGCATGTGCTTCCACACCTCTTCGCCGAGCTTCTCCGACGTTGGCGGTGGGGCCCAGATCTGTCTCAAGCACCGTCCTGCGGCGGAAACGGAGACGAAACAGAGTGGGTGGTGATGGGTGGAGAGACCTCTGGATCCACTGCTGTGATTTCCAAAAACACACAAGTCTTTTAGGAAAGGAACTCCTAAGAGCGTTTGTGAAGGATTTTAACCCTGCAAAAAGAGATGGAAAACACACTTCCCATGCAAACAACCCCCCCTTTCATGCTTGACTTCTCCAATTTTTTAAAGAACGCACACAAGCACCAAACGCTTAATGGCCCTGAAAGGACCTCCACGTGACACACACCCAACCGACGCGCCAGCGCATTCGCCACGCTCCAGCTTCCGCAGGGCGCTGCTCGAATGCACCGAGACCCAGGCCTTGAACGGGGAGCGAGGGAGGGCGTTTCGTTGCACCGACGAAGAGGGATCCCATTGGCAAAGAGGGATGGACATGTTTTGAAAAGAGACTCGCTAAGCTATAGTAGCTTAAAGAATCTTAAACATCACCAGATTATAGACTCAACGGGATGGAATAGTTGTCCAGTAGAGATCCCCTAATCACCTTCGAGGGCTTTGGACTTTGGGAGGGCAAAAAAGCCTCGAACTCAAGTGTTTATGGAATGCAGCCTGGTCATGGAACACAAGAAGAACCCCCAAAAGCATCCAAAAGCCCTCTTGTGACCCTTGGTATTCCTCCCAAAACGCCGATCAAACCCTTCTCTGTCTGCTCGCGTTTCGTCAACGAGTGCAGCTGGTCCACCACTTTGCCTGGATAGGTTCTTCATCCTCTTTGGTCCCTACTCGGGCTGCCAACCTGCTGCCTCTAGAAAAGCCTTGTGGCACGAACTCTTTGCAACGGTCCGCCCCACGAAAAAACGCGGACGAGAGGCCAAGTAGGCCGCTAACTCCTTGATCTGCGTTTGGACCTGCCAAAGGCGGAGAATTGGCTGCAGGGTGTGACTTGAGAGTTCAAACAATTTTAAGACATGTTATATATCATGTGAAATCAAACCTGTCCACCCCCCACCAAGATCATGCACACTTGAGCAACTTTGGTGGTTTTTCAAGGACTCGGGTGTCCATGGCCGAGCCACATCCAAGGCTGAACACATGGCAAATAGATTGGGGTTGGGATGGGTAAGGGGGGGGTGCTGCTTTTTCCAGAATACTCGGCTCCCCAAAGGATCCCTCACACAACCCCGCCCCCTTCTGCTCAACCCTCCGGCGTTTTTTCCGCCTATCCAAAGCATCCTCCACCGGTCGATACACCACGCCTTTCCTCCCGACTCCTCGATCTCATTCACCAGCGCCGTCAAGGTCGATGCGATCTGCGCTTCGCGCTTCGAGACCGTTGATGGCATGAAGCGCATGACCTAGATACGACGCATGATCATTATATGTTGCAAAGGTTGTTTCAGGAGCATCCATGAAAAATGGGGGAAGTACTGTGATTTGCTGGTGACCATCATTGTATGAAGTGTTTGTGTCTTCAACTGTGCCATTCCATACCCTGTTGATCTGGACCTGGATGCTTTGGAGATGTTGTTTTTTCCCTTTTTTGCACAAAACACGGAAACACGTACCCATGTCATCCGATGTCACCATAATAATCCACTCGGCAAATGTGGATGTACTCATGAACAAATCAAATCGGCCCTTTTGGCAGGTGAACCTCTTTCAATGACATAAGCCGATGTATGAGTCACATATACTTTAGTCCTCCAGTTCCGTCTCAACTGCGGTCTCAACTGCGACACTTCATTGCTTATTCCTTTTGGGCTCTTGATTAAAATATATTCCAAATAGATTCCAACAGGTGCCCATCCCAACAACATTTCAACGGCAATTTGCCGCTGGATGTATCACCAGCAACGCCACTGGCCAGCTCATCTCCTCCGGAGCTCCACACATCTCCACTGCGGCAGCGTGTTCGACCGCACCTTCCCCACGACCGCCTTGTCCCCGCGATCCCCTGCGGCGGGTTGTGGCCGGAGCTTGGGCGCAGTTCCGGGAAGAACCGGCCTGGTCGAGAATTCGTCCCGTGGATCTGCAGTAATTGCATGGCTCCATATACGTGCTCGATGTTGGTGAGAATTATGGGAGTGATGTGAGGGTTCACACGGGATGCACAAAACGAAGCAGTATAAACGCAAAAGACTTCAGACCTGGGCCATGACTCTGATTCAACAGCCCGGTTTTGGTTACGTAACATGTTGTAACCACGCATGCGTTCAACAACTCAAATAAATCCACCCTGATGCTTGCATACTCTGTGCAAGCTAAGATCCCTGAACTCTCGGTCAGAAAACCTCGACTCACAAAAATAATGAGTTCACGAAAACAAGTGCCGAAGCACCCTCTTCGGTGCCTGTGGTGGCAATGCAAGTGCGCTGCAAAGCACGGAGGTAAGCGTCCAGGTCCAAGAGGTTTTGATCACAACCTCGGGGCGTAGGCGTCGGCGTCACAGCAGAAACCTTTGCACCCTTACAATAATCCCGTCCCCCTAATAATAAACACGGGCCCCCCCCCCCCTCCCCCCCTTTTAAAAAAAACATCGGTCGCATTTTTTTTAATAGGGGGTCCCTGAAATCGGGGGGTCCAAAATAGGGTCACCTGGGAAGAGCTTCAAAACCAAAAAGTAAATCCGTAAAGTTTTATATAAAATCCTTTATTAAACTCGTATCAAAAATGCAAAAAAGCTCCAGATCGAAGGGTCTTCCTTTTCCCCTACAAAAACCTTCATTAGAATAGTTATTCTTCGGTAGACTAACAGCTAAAGCTTTCGAAAGGTGATGTCGCTGTGCCATGCGGTGTTGCATGACCTCGGTGGCAAGTGCGTTTGCGTGAGTCCGTGCCATTGGGGGAAGGAAAGCCTGCTGGTGTAAGCGCGGCGTGTCATGGTGGATAGACAGGGCGGACAGAGGTGGGCAGTTACGGTTGATTTTGGGGAACCTAATTAAAAAAACTACCCCCAAAATCGATCATGTTGGTAGTTTAGTAGCGGCTTGAAAGGGCGGCAATTTAAAACCAAATATAAACCGAATTTAGGGGTTCGGACGTGTGTTTTTTTTAATTGGGGAGTGTTTATTAATAGGTACTCGGGATTACTTAGCCTTGGAATGAAACAGCTCACAACTTACAACGTTCATATGCCTCATTTGATTTGGTAAGACATCATCTACAGGAGTCAGGAGTGTTAAGAACACGGGTTGTGTTCAACATGATCCGAGAAGTCACCTCTTCAAGAGGTTTCAGGGTTCAGCTTTCTTGGAGTGTCCAAAGTGATCCAGAATCTGCCCACTCGGACGACGGGATGGAAGACTGGATGGAGACCTGCACCTTCGAACAAACAAAAAGAGGTTCACTAAAGGAGTTATGGTCATTTGGAACTCTTGGGGAATGGGCGGAACCATGCCTTGAATGGAGCTTTGATTTCCACTTGGCAATGCAATCATGTCAATTTCTTGAGGCGTTGCCCGCCACAACCTTTTGGTTGGTGTTTCCCTAGGACAATCTAATGAGTTGTGCTTTACGCTGGACGGGACATGGTAAACCAGAAACAACCTTCGTTTCTTGATCTCGAATATAGCAGATCTTCAAAACTGTGGGTTCACCGTCTGCATGTGTGCAATCGTGTTTTGTTGAACCAATCGGTGTGGTCTGGATGGACATTTGCAGGTTGACTCCGGCGGCTGGTGCCAACATTGTTTAAGACCACATACACATCCTTCTTTTGTTGAAGATTGGATATGTGACCTCCGGAAATAGACATCAGCACAAACTCATAATTTCAAGAAAAGGTGCTTATCACTTCTCAACTATATTTATCAAAGCAGAAAACCGTCAATGTTGCATAATGTTGCAATGTATTTGTTTGGCATCCGGCGATGGCAGCATGCCTCCGTGCTCATGGATAAGAATGGTCCATTCCACTTTCAATCAAACATCCTTAAACAAAAACATATAGAACTAGTGAATCCCTTTATGCACCTCTTGTCAAAACCGTTTTGACCCAAACATTCTTGGCCGATCCGGTGATCTTTATACCCCCACAACCGAAGACTTTTCCAAGCCGAGGAACTCCAACAGTTGGGCTTCAGCTCCTTTGGACCGGATCGTTTCGGACAGGTTCGCCCGAGTTAACCAAGGTGGTTCGGTGGCGAAACAAACCTCAAGTGAAAAAAACATATGAGTCAGTGGGATCAATCATCCCAAGTGATGGCTGGATATCTGAGTCAGTGGGATCAATCATGCCAAGTAAAGGTTGAACGTTGATATATCTGAAACCACCACCCAGTGAATGCTTGCTCTTTCGGAGATTGACCGTCGGGCATCCAGCATCCAAGGAGGGATCAGGAGTCATTATGTACGAGCAGCACCGGGGTGTTTGCTCAAGGAGGTCGACATAGATGGATAACAAATCACACATTAAAATCGTGTCTGTGTAGAAAGAATCCCTGAATTGACAGAACCGCAAATCCCCCCAGTATCCTTTGATGTGATTTGGAAATCGCTTTATATCAATGACCAAGGAGATCTAAAGCAAACTGACCAAACTGTAGACCAACATGGTCTTGGAAGAATGGGTGACGGTCAGTGAAAGTGGCAACGTTCTATGCCATCCCGACTTCAAATGCAACCTGGCGGAAAACATCCCAACAAGAACAACAAACGCTTGACATAAAAATCATCGTGCCTTTGGTTTGGACCTCCTTTTTTTGCGCTTGACACAAACGAAGCAGGACCCAAACATATATTTATACCGAAGGGCATTTTCATCGAAGGAAGGGCATCTTCACCAATGGTCAACAAGAATCGAAAGGACATGTTCACCAAGGCACGAACAAGACCATACACTGGTTACACTCCATACCAGAACCAAAGGCCTCGCGTTGGTGCATGACTTGTCGCCACACACGCTCCACCCACCCTGCAGGACCATGTCCTTGTCCAAGCGCTGCTGAGTCAAGAGCTTTTGCAGGCGCATGATCTCTTCCTCCCGCCTGCCATGCATGTTAACAAGTGCCACCCACCAAAGGTCCCCTGGAGGGCAGCGAACTGGCGCATGCCGGCTCCGAAGACCATGCTGTTGCTATGGGCACATTGAAAGTTCAGTTATAAGTCAGGTCCCAACAAGTCCAAACACATGAGGAAAAAGGTTGCGACCTGTAAGGATCTGCCACATCAAAATTCCACATGGCAGGGACGCATGGGGCTCATATGGGCTCATGTGTGCAGGACCTGCTTGCCACAACCAGCTCACAACTATAAGCAAATGAAGTCCATCGGGCTTGGAACATGGTGCACAAAGTCGTTTCTAGTCCATACACTTGAGGTAGATTTAGATGTTTGAGTCTGTTTGAGTTTCAGTAGCGGTGGACCAGTGAGTGAGGTTCTATGTCACTAGCAGTGAGTGAGCATCAACATCTTCATTGATCATCTGACCTGCCCGTGGTGCCCAAACCCTGCAGCGATTTTTCGTCGTGGAATGCACATGGGAGAGCAACACAGTTTCGCGTCACCTCTGCATTCCTAAATGCCTTGAAGGATTTAATCCAATTCTGCGAATCCAGTCACTTGGATGATCTTGCCTTTCATCGCTCCCCTTGCAACCATGTTCCAACCACCTTGATAACTTTAAACTTAACAAGAAATCACAGGATGTCACAGGAACACCTATTCTTCTGCATCATCAGCCAATCCTCTGCTGGGACTCCTCATCCAAGTGTTATCTCCATCCTGGTGGTTGCACCGGCGCCGGTGCCGGCGGCGCCATCGGCTGCTGCTGTCCCCAGGGCCACCGCGCTGGCGGCCGCAGCCACGGCTGCCGCGGCATCGCCGGGCGCCAGGGCGGTCGCGGCGTGGGGGTGGGCGGCAAGGGCGGCGGCGTCGTTTGGGGCCAGGTGGTGCTGCTGGAAGCAGCTTGGGAGGACATCTCCTGCTGGTGGCGGCTTTTTTGGGATATAGATTTTGATAAGAAGAGTGTGTGCACTTGCACATGACGGTGAACACCCATTTCCATCCATTTCCTATGTAGGAGGTTCACTGGCGGATGTGTGTGCCTTAGGATTGGAAACACACATAAACAAACTGATCTTACTCTTAGCTGCTATTGTTGCAAATCGCTGACACTGAAAGACCTCGAGGTCACTGGAAGACCTCGAGGTGCATATGCTCATCAAGGCAAGTAGTCACAAGCATTCTACATGTGTAGCCTAACGGCAAGGGACCACTGCAAAGCTCTTATCTACTCCCTAAATAGGATATAACTCGGGGGACGCAGCGTATCACTTCCACACTGTTTGGCTCGGCAGTCCCTGGCTACATACATTTGAAGTCCTTCTGATCTTCAAATTCTGCAAAAACCAGCCACAAGTGAGTCTGAAGTCATCTAAAGTCTGATTCCATGACCTGGACTACGCCTTGGATGTCCATGGTACAAAGCAACACTGAAAGATTTGACAGCCTGGATGAGATACACCCTGGAAAATTAACATATAACTTAGAACCTGAAAACCACTGGGTTTCAAAGGAAAATTGTCTTCCGAAGATCCATGCCATCAGCTTCCATGTTCGATCAAACGCCCCCACTGACCCCACAGACCGTATTCGATCCGCTCCTCTTGCCGCGTCCTGCAGGGTTGCCAACAAGCGCGGCAAAGAGGCAACAAATGAACAGTATGGGAGGCCCAAAAGGGATCAGCGTCGGCCAAGTGTACGTGACTGGACCCTGAAAGCTTCTAAACCTTGAAAAATTACCGATGAGTGATGCTTCAAAACCCTGGTTGGACCCTCTTCTACTTAATAAATAGTTCTCACCGCGGAAAATGCCTCGACAAAGTGCAAAGAAGTTGAAAATTCAAAGTGAAGGTTTAAAATGAAACACAATAGAATCCAGTCAAGGTGTGGGTTGCCCCAGCTCATGTACAAACCAACGGTGTATCTAAATCAAGCGCGCGAGCAAACGCCACTGGCTCAGGGCTCGTCCATTTTGGATCCATTTTGGCCACAAAATCTGTTCTTAGCTCTTTTGACTTCAGCAAGTATAGTTCATCCACAATAGAACATCTCCACGTCACCACACCGGGCCGGAAACCCAAAACCAACTCCTCACGTCTCTCATCCATCCACCATCCGTGCCGTCCCCATCCGTGTCCTCCAGGTCTCCAGTTGGATGTCCACCACGTCCATGGCCAGTGGGATCTCCGGCTTCCGCAGTGGGCCACGCAGTAGGCCGATGGCTAGGGCCAGTTGGACCAGGGCGATGATCAGGTACCAAACCTGGAAGATGATGGGAAGAAATGGGTTATATAATGCCAAGGGTAGGGTCAGTTACCTGGGTAAAAGTTTGAGACTATGGGCAAAGCATTTGCGAAGACAAACCTGCAATCAGCACAGCTCGAAACATGTTGGACAGGAGTCATTCTGTTTGCCTCAAGTAGGGCTTGGGAGTTTCTTCTCTTCATAAAGAGGCGTAATCGGATGTAATCGGCACTGTTGGGTGCTTGTTGAAGGTAGAGCAGAGTTGTGTATCCTTTGTCTTGGTTGCACTGTCAGATTCTTCATGTAACTTCAGTGTACGTGAACCAGTTCACAATTAAACAAAAGAAGAGTGGACGGTTGCAAAATCACCAACCGACCCTTCCCCCAGAGTCCATGCTTTAGTGCGTCGTTGCTGCTGTAGAGGCTCTCTCAATCACTCTAAATCATATCCACATGAATGTCTCTCACCTCCTTTGATCCCTCAACCAACCGCCCCCCAACAGGATTAATTTTGCTGATAGGCATTGGCATATCCAAGAATGGTGCGTCGGTGTGTATGTCACCCGTCTTCAGCTGAGAAGCGCAGCCCCAGGGCATTTGCACCTCTCCGGACTCCTTCGCCAACATCGACAAAGTCTGCTTCAGGATTCCACCCACACGCTCGAAGTTTTGAATACTCAACCTCAGCCAGTGCTGCACTCCACCCACCCAACAAAATATGTCCTTCTTTCTTTCATGCGCGCCAAAGGTCTAGTCTGTGACATGCCCAACAACGTGGACTCACCCCGATGCTTGGAAAAACGCTTTGTCTCTGTAGCGTTCTCCACTTCAATCGCTTCAATTGTGGGTGTCTGGTTGGGAGTGGTTGTGGTTGATGTTGACGGCCAGTGGACGCGTGGCACAAAGGAAGACTAGAAAAAACTCTAAACGTCTATACAATTCCCTAGACACGTCGAACTGTTTTGAGGCCCAACTATTCCTCAAACGTCCCATACGGGAGCAATGGAGTTCCTGGTCTCCCAGCTTCTGCCGGATGGGCTAACCTACCAAGCTTGCATCCCAGGCACCGATATTGCATGACGCAGCCGGCCTGGGATCATGCGCCATGGTACAGGAGTTCACTAAGGTCACCCTAGGCAACAAGGTACACAAAGAAAGTGCGTCCTTTTTTCAGTCCTTTTCCACATAGAAGTGAAGTTTGTATAATCTCCAAGTGCAGGGCTATACTGGCATCGCCAGACATTAGAATATATGAATATGACAAGTTCCGACTCGGATCATGACATTCCAACCCGCCATAGGCCCCAACTATGGCAATGATCTCCACTGCTCCTACCCATCTCCGACCACTTCCCATCCACGCTGCCGTGCAAATGGGCGCCATGGCGGCGCAAACCTTGGCGACGCCACGGAAGCGGCCGGTCTTCAGCTCAGAGACCGCCCAGCGCGGCTTCTTCTCCTGCGGAATGCGGGTTGCACCAGAAACGGGCGTGCATAGTACGCGTGTGTGATGCGGCCATGCATGAAGCATACATAAAATGTAGAGAGAGTGTGTAAGCATGTAGCCTCGGAGTTGGTGAAGGTGACAGTTTGTCAAAGTCAAAAAGCTTAAAATGCCTAGAATGCTGTCCTGCAGGCTGCAGGATCGCTTTGTGAACCACAAAGTTTGCTTGAAGGCTTGGAGTTTCCATCTCACTGCTAGGCTCAAACGTTGCAAACAGGGATCTCGGACCCTCAGTTCCGGGTCCGAGATCATAGCCTCTCAGGCTCTCCTTGGTGTTCTTGAAGGCTTGATGGTCCACTGCCACATACCAGAAAAGAAGAATCGACATCAGGATGCTCATGCAGATCAAGGCGAATCCCAAACGCGAAGACTTCTTCACAATGCTCCTTGGTTGGACAATACGGCCGTCCAAAGCGATCTATGGTTGGAGAAAACTAAAACCAGGTTATATATACAGGTACCCTGGTGACCTAGTGACCTTGATCCCAAGAACTTGGGATCATGCACTTTGTCCTTGATCTCTACCCCAACACAACGGGGCTCAAAAAATGTAAGCGACATAGGGATTCTGACCCCAAAAGTAATACTTTCACGACTTGATTGGGAGGAGGGGATACGAATTCCAAGAAGGGCATGGTACAATGGTGCTTTGGTTTGGCTTATATATGTTTGGGCTTGTCACAAGGTTCCATTTTATGCGGGGAGGCGGGGTCGGCGCCAGCTGCAAGCATCAAGTCAAAAATGGCATCGATGCAACAGTCATCGTAGGAATGCAGGCTATAAAGTGACATACTTACTGTGCTACCGACAGAAAGGCAAATGCTTTCAAGTATATAACAAGTTCACGTTCCAAAGGCGCCCTGGCTGTGAGAATTAGTATTCGACCACCAGCTGTCCAGGGAACTTCCCTTTGACACAAGGCGCTTGCAGCCGGCAAGCAAGAAAAACTTTGGATACATGGACATCTCTTTGTACCTTTCTTCAATTGTACACAGCGTTTAAAAACATATTCAAAACATATCTCTTACACACTTACACCTCTAAGCCAAGCATATGTGAACAGTATCTGTGCGGCTTCACAAAGTGAATGATCAAGAATTATGGAGCATTCCTCTCGGCATGTTTAGGTACATCAAAACAACTTCAGTTTGAAGAAACTCAAGCCACACACCTGAGGTGTTTTCGACATATGGACATAACTATGAGACCACTTGTACTTCAGTCAAGACCTCCGGT